TCATTGCACTCAGTGTGTGCTGTCGTCTGTCTTTTAACTTTGGGTCACTGGGTCCCAGAGCAGTGCATGGCACATAAATACTTACTGAAGGGGGCCAGGCATGGTGGTGCTTGCCTATAATTCCAGGTTATTTGGGAGGCTGAGGCAAGAAGATCATGTGTTCAAAGCCAAACTAGACAACATAAGACAACTGTCTCAAATAAAAAGATGCTCAATGAATGATGATTCAGTGGATACATGAATAGGAGAATGTGTGAATTAGGAATATACTAAGGACAAATTTGCTCATCGTCAAATATTTGAGCTGGGCGTGGTGGCACACAGCTGTAATCCCAGCTATTTGGGAGACTGAGGCAGGAGGATTGCTAATTCAAACCCAGAGTTCAAGACCAACTTGGACAACTTAGTGAGATCTGGTCTCCAAACAAAATTAGGGTTGGGGGTACAGCTTAGTGACAGAGTGCCCCTGGATTCAATCCCCAGTACCACAAACACAAGATAAAAAACAAAAATAGTTAAAGCATTGAGTGCATTTCAGTCCAAGAGCTCAGACGGAGTCTGTTCAAGTCACTCTTTCACGTGGGCGTGGGAACCTGGTCTGCATGTGTAGCATTGTTTCTGCGAGGTGGGTGAAATTCATTCTTTTTCAAATAACCAACTTCCAGGTGGATTTTTTTTTTTTCGTCCGTGATCCTGTGGACAGAACCTAGGGCTTCACACGTGCCAGGCAAGCAAGCACTCTGCCACCAAGCCCTGCTCCCACCATGACTCTTTAGACCATGATGCATTTTTTACTTGAGGTTACTAAAAGAACTCCTCTACCAAAGTTGGGGCTAAAGGAGATGCTCATCTCTGAGCCTTCACCAGGCATACTGTGAACTGGATCTACATCATTTCTTTTTCTTCTTTTTTCTTTTGCATTTTAGACGGGGTCTCCTGTGGCCCAGCCTGGCCTCCAGCTTGAGGCAATACTCCTGCCTCGGCATCCTGAGTGCTAGGATTTCAGCGTGTTCCACCGCATCTAGCCCCTTTCAGGGCTTTTCACAATGCAGCATTTAATTTTGTTTTCTCTAATAATTTCATGAGTCAGTGGGGCAGATATTGCACCAATGTTTAAAACGATGGCCGATGGTCACAGGGCGCCTTCCGGGTGCCAGCACTCTTCTAAGTGCCAGCATTACGCAAGTCCCTTTTTTCTTCCGAAACAAAAACAAAAACCAAACTCAGGAGGCTGGCTCTGCCCTCAGGCCAGAAAAACCCAAAAAGGATTGGCTGAGGTGCTGACCAGCTCTGCTGGGGTGGGGGAGTGGGCAGCAGCACCCTCCTCTTCCCGGCCTCCAGATAAAGCAGAGAGTCACATAATAAACCACCCACACGAGCACACAGGTCTCAGACGGGCAGTCCATGGCCAGGGAGTGAGCCACCACAGTGGAGTGGGAACTGAGCTGCTGAGCGACAAGACACTGTTTAGGGAAAAACTTGTATCTGTTCAGTTTTTGTTGTTGTTTTGTTTTTGTGGTTTGTTTTTTTCTTTGTTTGTTTGTTGTTTTGTTTTTTTGAGGCAGTGTCTAGCTGTGTAGTCCAGATTGTTCTTGAACTTGCTATATAGCTGGGCCTGGCCTCAACCCTGTGATCCTCCTGCCTCAGCCTCCCAAGTACTGGGATTACAGGTGTGCAGCACCATTCCTGGGTGCCCTGAAACATTTTAAGTGGCTTAACAATAATTGAGAAGTAAGGATTCTTCCTGGAGAAATGAGAAGTGAAGGAGGAAGCTTGTAGAAAGATAATAGATGGTAATTTTCTCCTCTGTGGTATGTGCTGGGGAAGAGAGGCAGGGAAACATCTTTCATCTGAGAAAGAATGCAGGCGATCACCCTTCTGGGGAGGAGACAGTAAAGGGGATTTTGTAAGCTCTGAGCTCCCCACTCTCAGAAGACTGTATGAGCGCAAGGTAACTTGTCCTTTGCCTGCAGAAGTTGTAGCCTTACTTTAAAAACAGGGAGTTGGTGCACTGAAGGCTTTCTACTGCACTAAAAACAGATCCCCTGGGGCAGAATCACTGTGTGAATGACTTTTCTATTGTAGGTCTGCCCTAGACGCAGTGGACACTCAGCCTCCAGCTGTGAACATTTGGGGAAATCTTGTGTTGTCTGAGGAAGGACCAGGCATGATTCTTGAGAGCCGGACTAATTTGAGGAGGCTGTGTGCTCTGCAGCCCAGATTTTCATCTAAAGTTCTGCCTCTGCTTAGGAATGAGGATGGAGAGCCTTTAAGCAGTAAGGATTTGATGGTCTTTTGCAGAAGGCTCCCATAGCAGATGCTTCCGATACCTATGTCCTTCCTGCTGCTCACGTGTCCTGGTAGTCTTCCCATCCTTGGTCACAGTTTCAGTGACACAGGAGACAGATGCCTGCGTTTTATCCCCTGTCCTGAGTGATAGGAGAGGTTGTGGTTTTGTGACAAGAAAATGTCCTTTTTCTCAGCAGCAGCAAACTCTCTAGGCTTTTCCACAACTCATCTTATCACCATTAGATGTGGTTGGTAGTTTATGATTCTAGAAGCTAGAATAAAGTTTTGAAAAAGTGAAAGAAACCAGTTTGACCGGGCTTCATGCTATATGATCGAAACTAAATGACCTTCCAGAGATGGGGACACCAAGGAGACAGAAAGATCAGTGCTTACCAGGGGTTGGAGGAGGGAGGGTGCACAGGTGTGATTCAGAGATGTTTATTATTCTGTGTGACACTGACAGTGGACATATGTCACTGTGGATTTGTCAAAACTCATAGAGGGTCCAGCTCTAAGAGTAAACCTTCATATCAACAGTGTGTTCATGAACCTGTCTTGGCTTTTCACCCCTGGCATGGTGGTGCACTCCTGTAATCCCAGCTACCTGGGAGGCTGAGGCAGGAGAATTTTAAGTTTGAGGCAGTCCTGGGCACTTCAGCAAGACCTTGCCTCAAAATAAAAGTTTAAAAAATGACTGGGAGTGTAGCTGTAGTGGTAGAGAGCACTTGGGTAAGGTCCTGTTTGATCTTCAGTACGTGTGTGTGTGTGTGTGTGTGTGTGTGTGTAAATCAGGTTTAGTAAATGTACTGCGGTAATGCCTGAAGTTCATAAGGGAGGGAGGAGCTCATATAAACTTGCTGAACTTTTTAAAAAATTATGAACCTAAGGTGGCTTGCCTGATATGCACAAGGCCCCAGGTTTAGTAATCCTTGGAGAGAGAGACAGAGAGGGGGGGATAATGTGTGTGTTAGAGAGACAGCAAGAAACCATTTCAGCGACCATGTTGTCACTCTACTTATGTCTCCTTTGGTACCCAGCATGTAGCCCCCAGCAGTTTCATTTGAGAAAAGTTATCAGTCTATTAAATCCCTTTATCTTTTTGGTAGCCACTGGTATTACTAATCTCTTTCTTAAGAAAAAAAGTACAAAATTAGCTTAACCTCTTCTCCAGAAGGCCTCTTTTCTTTCCATCCGAGATATCGTTTTGCTCCTTCCTCATTCTGAACAGCTGGTAACTTTGCTGCCCTTAGGAGCAGGCCCAGTCTGCTTTCTGAGTGTCTTGCCCAAAAGAGAAACTTGCTGCTGCTCCCCTTTGTTAGATGTGTTTCTGCCAGGGCAGTTGTTCATGCATGGACTGGTCTCATGCCACTTGGTGAGGAGGGTGGATTCCTCCCCAGTGGTGTGGAAAGGGCTGATTGGATAATAACCACATAAACCTGAGGTTGAGAGAGTCCACATATTATAGAAAATAGCACCGGAAACAGGACTAGTAGTGATGAGTAGTTGTAGAACTTGCCAAAGGAAAACCCACACAAATATACAGATCAAAGAAAGGTGTGTGCTAAATGCTTAATTCTGAAGTACGTAAGATGCATTTCCCTTTGTGGTAAAAAAAAGAAGCTATCCAAAACTAGCCCTGCATTTAATGTAACTTTAATACTCACAGATAACCAAGGAAAGCAAAAAAGGAGTGAACTAGCATGAATTCAGAAGGAAATTTATATTCTTATTATGTCAGGTGAAATGTATGAGCAAAAATTTAGTCTCTTGCCTAGAAGACCACAGTAGAATCACTCTGTACATGTGTGCTAAAGGTAACTGGCCTGGGTGGGTCAGTGGTAGGGTACTATGCCTAGTATACACAAGATCCTGGGTTCAATCCTCAGGACTTGCATTGCCCTACACCCTGCCCCTAAAACAACTCAAAATAAAAAATTTTATCCTTTCCAAAGAATGTCAAAAAATGGGATGTGGGGGCTGAGCTTGTAATCTGTGGTAGAGCACATGCTTAGCGTGCATAAGGCTCTAGGTTCAATCCCCTGCACACACAAACCTACATGTCTTGAATGCAGAAAAGACAACCAAGACAGCAAGCAATATCTCTAGGCCTACAACCTAATTCCTTCTAGAAGCTCACTGACAGCCACCCTGGTCAGCACAGGCCAGGCATCTTCTACCAACTAAGCTACACCCCCCAAAGATGAGTCACTTGTGCCAGCATCTACTGATCTCCCCCGGCCCCCCTTGCCTAGGATCAGAGGCAGTGATCCACTTTCTCCCACCCTGACCCAGGGTGAGACAGATGCCTCTCTCTAATGAACCCTGCCCCATGCCTGCTTTTCTCCTGAGCACAAGGTTTGGGCGAGTAAGATTAATTTTGATATAAGAGACTTTCTTTCTTTACCATTAGGCCAAGAGAGAAGAAACTTCTCTTATGCTCTGAAATCCCCATTCCCTTGCTGTTCATGATGAATTGGAGCCTATGGTCAGAATAAAAATCAAAAGAGGGGCTAGGAAAGCCCACAGAAAGCAGCAGGAACAAATAATGCCAACAACTGGGCTTCCTGGCCCAGATTCGCTAACAAGCATTTAATTCTTTCCCATAACAGAGTCTGCTTAAGACCACTGAAAATTCCTGTACAGGATGAGTGTGTCTGAACTGGAGTCCTGAAGTCATTCTCTCATCCTTGTCGCTGTTTCTTCCTCCTCAGGGCCACAGGCTTCGGCTTCCTGAATGCCCTCTGTAAAGCAGCGGCCGTTCTGGGCAACCTAATATTCGGCTCCCTGGTGAGCATCACCAAAGCCATCCCCATCCTGCTGGCTTCGACTGTGCTCGTGTGCGGAGGACTCGTGGGGCTGCGTCTGCCCGACACACGAACCCAGGTCCTGATGTGATGGAAACAAAAGCCATGCTCTGTGCTCTTCCTTCTCCTGCCCTGAGTCGAGTCTCTGGATGCACTCAAGGCTTTGGGTTTTTCAGATCTAGGAAAATGGTCAAATATCAGAACACAACCTGTTACTGTGACTTAAAATGTAGATGTGTATCATCTTCCCCTTCCATGTGGTTTTGGACCGGTTTATTTTTCGTGCATTGTTCATCTTTCCTGACTGTGACACTGCTGCCTCCCAAAATATCAGGGGAAGAACTGCTAAAATGTCCTAGTTGGCCAGGCCTCCCTGGGATGCTGCTCGCTGAAGGTTCAGACACTAAGCAAAAGCCTGTTGTTGTAAGAAATAGATCCTGCTCCGAAGGCAACATTAGCAGGAAATATACATTGCCATATTATTACAGTTTTGCTGAGGAGAGGGATTCTTTTCTTTTTTTTTTTTCAAACAGAGTACTATTTCCTGTTTACTTAGAAAAGGACACCCAGCAATTTTTGCTGTTACAGCAGGGCCTTTCAAAGAAAACCATGTGGTACACACAGGCTTGGGTGGGGCTCTTTCGGGCAGACAATTAAGGTAGCTGTGTCCACAAGAAAAACAAAGGCTCAAGCAGTTACCACCAAAAACCAGAGTGAGCAGAAGCAGACAGAAAGTCCAATTAAACTTCTAAAAAGTCTGAGGTGAAAGCATTATACCAGTGTTGGTGATTGTGGCATGTATGTGGATCACACTGTTTCAAAGTCAGTTTGCCTCCATTTACCCTGCCCTCACCCACATCTCAGACTGTGGTGGATACTTGCCAGACAGATTTAGAGGAGAGTCACTTCTTAAAAACCAGGCATGAGCCAGGCATGGTGGCTCAGGTCTGTAATCCCAGCCCTCTGGGCAGCTGAGGCAGGAGGATCACAAGTTAGACAGCACCCAGCCTGGGCAACTGAGTGACTTAGTTGCCTCAGTGCAATGACCCTGGGTTCATTCCCCTGTATCACCAAAAAATAAAAACATCTGCCTACCTGATTTTGCTATTCAGACCAATTTCTGTAGTCTAGAGATTACAGTGGATATCTAAATTGTAATAAACTGCAAATTTGGAAGAAATTCACACCTAAAACCACATGAAAATGCACAGTGGTACCTCTTCCTGTACCTGTTTTCTAAAGAACAATCTTACCCAATCCCCTTTGGTGAAAGTTGGCATTTACCTTCCTAGCTGGCATCATGGAAGCAGATGCCCCCTCCAAGCTCCGCCTGGGCTGGCACCTGGTCCCAGAACTGGCTTGTACTCCAGAGGAGTCTCCACCAGACTAGGGCAGCATCTCCTGGTGACCATCTGCCTGCTCACTTTACCTCTGGAGACTCCCTGGGCTGGGAAGCAAGAGGTCACCAGGACATTCCCACAGGGCCAGCTGTCATCTACAAAACCTTCTCTCTCTGGAGCTGCCCCTCCCCCAAGTGCATCCCTTTTACACATCTTTGAAATCTGAAGCCTCCTTGTGGACTTGCAGCCAGGAAATAAATCCCATATTTAACAAGATTCCTTTTTTAACTCTCCATGTCTTGTTGGAGGGTGAGCCTCATTAGCTCTTCTAGGATCTTGCAGGAAGGGGCAGGCTTTTGTTTCCACTCATCTTTACATCAAGAGAGGTCCTCATTCCCTAGGGACCCCTCAGGGTCTTTTCCTCGCCTCAGGATCCTTCTTGAACTGGCACTGAAAAGTGTCTGTCATTAACATAAGCCATGAATCAATGGGGCTAGTGGAGGGGGCAGCCAGAGTGGGGCTGTGGTGGGAAGAAGGTGTCTCCCTGGGGAGGTATGTATGTGTCAGGAACGGAACATCAAGAAAACTCAAACCAAAATCTGCAGGGATGAAAGGAAGAAGGAAAATCAGTAGAGACTGGAGGACATGACTTATTTGAGAGATAGGGCCAGAATTTAGCTCAGTGGTTCCGCCGCCGCCTGCCTTGCAAGTGCAAGGTTCTGAGTTCTATCCCAGGGACCAAAAACAAAACAAAACTTACTTGAGAGATAACAACAAAGCAGGAAAAGAAAGAGAACTCCACCCCTCACTTCTTTCTCCTGCTGTATTATTGGAGAACAAAAGACTGCAGTTGAGAACCCAAGAAAGTACCCTGTATGTTATTCTGTTTCCATGTGGACTCATTTCCCTGCTTCTCTTCCCCTTGATTTGTCTTCTTTACAAAAGGACCTGATGGGGAGTGAGCAGAGCTTTTAGTTAAATGGGTCATGTGCAGAATAACTGAGAAAATGAGTCTTCTCTCTGTCCACCGTGCAAAAGAAAGGCAGAAATGTGCATGTCTTGCTAGCTGTCCATGATAGTTAACTTTGCTTACTAGACTATCCTTTGTTTTTAAAAATTCTCTATTGTCCACTGTAGATTCTAAATGCATAAAATATCTACCAAGCTGTGGGGCACAGACATTCAGATTTTTATCTGAACACTGGGCCGGGCTAGCAGGACCCTGGTTCATGAGACCTCCCACTTTGTGTCCCCCTCAGAAGGACCATGCTTGGCCTTCTTATCATCTAACCTGAGCCTCCTGGGTGGCCCAAGAGGGATCTCTTCTAATGTTCTGGACAGTGTGTGGTCACAAACCTTCTTGGTCACCACCTTTTCCACTTTCCATACACTTTCCTCTGCCTCCCTCACTCAGTTCATTCCCTTACTGTCTGTGAGGGCTCCTGTTGCTTTCAAAGGTGTGTGGTGTGGCCTGCTGGGCTTACTCATGGTGTAGCTGAGGATTAGGGTACAACTGTGAGATCAAACAGAAACTCGCAGTTGTGTGAGGGTAACTGGCCACTGGCACTTGAACATGCAACTGTAGATGTAGTTTCATCTACAGTAGAAGGAAAATGAAAGTGTAAAGGTGAAAGCCTAGCAAACAATCTCACTTACTCCTGTATTTCCAACTCTTTTTCTAACTAAAATTTCCCCTTAGCTATTTAGAATTGATTCAGAGTCCTGTTAGTCCTGAGTCCTGTTACTATCACCGAATCTTCTCAGTGTGGATAACAAACAGCTCCTGTAAATTAGGTATTCTGCACCACCTTATCCCCAGGTATTGGGTCTTCAGGCACCAACTTGCTCCCAGTCCTGCTGCCTGACTCATGACCCACAGAGACGAGACCAATGGGTCCCATGCCAGCTCTGCCACTAGGGACTGGGGAGCCCCAGATCTTGCCTGGGATTGAACATCTCTGGTCCTTAGTTTTTCTATTGGTAGAGTTAAAGATTGGGACTACTTTGTTCTCCAAGTTCGAGAAGATTGTCATGAAAATAACTTCATCTTCTCTATCTTCTGATGAACCAGCACTAAGTTGGCTCAGTTTACACACTGAAAACTTTTAAAAATAAGCAAGTATATAAGGGGGCAAGAACTTGCTTGGAAAGGTCTTCTGGGATAGACCAGAGAGTGTAGTTCTTACATTGTTTGCCCCACCTGCTCCTCACAGCCCTGAGCGTTATATCAATTCAAAGAAGCTGGACAGTTACCATGGCCCAACCAGAGAAGGGACCCACCCTGATGGATGTACCCACAGTAGGAAGACTCTCCAACCACACCACTACCGCAAAGGGTGAATCCCACAGCTCCTCCATTCCATTGCTTTCTTGAAACATGGCCTTAAGTAGACCCAGGCCATCAGAAACAGAGTTTCTCAGTGAGTTCACCTCAGTTGGGAAATGGACCTTCACTTACAAGTCTCACCAAATCACAGCTCAGGTTTGCACTAAGAACTCATTGGCTGTTTTTCAGATTATTTTAAGGGTTCAAGGAGAGCTGGGAAAAGAAATGTGGTGGCAGAGGGAAAGTCTGAGACATCATTGATAAAGTTTTAGGGACAAGAGGAGGCCACTGCAGAGACACTCTAAGCCTTGGAATTGTTCCCCTCACATCCCATGGGAAAATCTTGTGATTTCTTCTCTGAAACCAAAGCATAATATGATACTCTCCAACTTTTTCTGTTTAATTTCAAAATGGTCTTTATCTGTTTCTTCATAAGACACTTTACCTGTTCATGCATAGAAGTTTCATGCAGCCAGGAACATCTGATTTGGGCCTTCACCTACAATCACAGGAGGAAAACTGCTTGTTGTTATTCAGAGACATACTGGATGCATATCGAGTTTCCTTTTAATTCCCAGATTATGCCAAACTAAGTCTGATTACTATACCTACAAAAACACCAGTCGTGTTGTTGCAACAAAATCTAGGCATTCGGGCACTCTGAAGTGAACTATAGAGGATACATTTATTAGTTTTTGTTCCTGCTGAGCAGTGTTTTGAGCAATGCCTCTCTTGTAAACTGTGTAATGTAGATGAAAGGAAATGGTCAGTGTCCTCTGGGTGCAATGCATCTTGTTTGAGGAGTGGAGTGATCATTCTGCGTGCACCATTCATTGACTTCTCTCCCTGTCAACAGTCTGTCCCCAATCAGACACAGAGCCTTTGCCAAAACTTTTGCCATCTTTCTAGAACAATACCTAGAGCCAGCTTAGCAATCCCAGCATTTGGAGTTGTAAGAGTTCAGCTCCTGAGTCTATGTAGGTACTGATGAAGGGTAGGGGAGAGAGCTGGCTGACTTTCATGTGCTTATTCCCTTGATATTTATGAAGCACCTCCCCATGTGCTGTGTATCCAGGTGCTGAGCTGTGTGCAGATAATTAACCCTTTGCTGGGTTTAAATAAGAGCAAGGAAGTGCATTCCTGCCTTACTTATTAAGCTCCTTACCCCATCTTCATAAAGTGCATTTTTCTGCATGTAAAACTGTGCAGTAATTAGGATTACTTTTGACAGAGAAGACCCCTTTATTGCCTGGCCTTTGTTGGAGGGAAAATGAGAAAAATAGACCCCCACGCATGCTGTCTTTAGGAAATTGTGCTAAGACACTATTCAAGGAAAAGAGCAGCAGAGATAGGCCCATCTTTTTAGAGATGCTCCTTTCTTCTGAGGTTCTTTTCAAGGTCTGAAGTGGAGAATGTTCCCAAGCTGTAGGCTAGGGTTTTCTCTCCAGAGCCTTGGCAGCCAACTGCTGCTTCCCTGGCCCCTGCCTCCCAGGTGTTATGTTTCTGATGTCCCAATTTGTGACTGAGTCAAGCTGTCTTTGCAGACACCCTAGAGCAACTTCCCCTTCTCCACCTCGGGCAGATAAGCCACCCGGAAAACAGGTTCTGACAGCACTCGCTGTCCCAGGGTATTTGGAGGCTTCAGCGTAAAAGCAGGAGCAGGATGGAGAAGGCCATTGTCGGGGACCTGCTTGCTTTCTGTATCCACCAACTCTCTCTGTGCCCCAGCACTACATACCCACTCTCTTCCTTTCCATCACACTCTTCTTCCTCCTTCCTCGGTCTTGTCACCTCTTGACTGCACCAAAGCAAGGCTGGACTTTCCTAGGGCACTGGGGACTGAGCAGTGTGCCTGTCTCTGCCTGTCATAGAGGCACAGAGGATAGAGAACATGGGGATCAGGAGAGAGTGTGGGAGCATGAGCAATGGCCTGGCTGGATTTGACAGAGCTCCTGTTCCAGGCTAGGTTTCCACCTGCTTCTCAAGCACTGCTGAAAGAGGGGGACATCCCCAGCCAGGTGCTTGTTACTCACTGACCCATGGGAGGTGGGCAGCACCTCCCTCTCCTGGTCTGCAGCGGACCCAACTTGGCTGGGGGAATAGAGGTGGCCAGCTTCCGACCTGTCCTTCCACGTTAGCACCAGGCTACAACTAGGAGGAGGAGAAAGCAAACAGAGGCCCTTCGTTCCGACTCAGACAGGGTTTAACCTTGGCTGACAACCTTGCTCAGCAGCAAGAGTGAGTCCTAAGCAGCTGGTGGCTGCTCATAGGGACTGTGGTCATCCCACCCCTGGGCCAGCAAGGGGCTGCAATGACGGGCTCAAGCGGGTTCATCAGAGCCAGCTGTCAGTTTCAGGACTTTTCAGAACTGGTTAAGAAGCATAGACATTAGTGAAAGTACCAGTTGATACTTATTCAAAACACATCACATTCTACTTATTTGGTACCTTTGGCTGCTTCTATGCCTTGAGGTGATACATGCCTTTTACATCTGTGTGGGAGAAGCATTGTATTCACATGCACCCAGAATAGGACCCACAGGGCAGAGAATCCCTGCTTTCTTTGGGTGTTGCTCCTATTTTATGCTGTGCAAATCGAATTAAACTATTTGGAAGTTACAAAGTCTCTCCTTCTGAGCCCCAAGTAGTTTATCCAGGAAGGAACCTTTTCTCACCTTTGACATTCACCAGGCCTGTCTAGGTAGAACTTGACAGATGATGGCTTGATTTCATTTCCACCATGGCAATTGCTACATATTTATTACACTAAATCTAAATCAGTAAAAGAAAGGAGAAATGTTCTTTCTTTATATGTACTTTCCAAAATGTGGTTGTGTATCCTCCCACTGAGCCAGAAACACGTTGAACAGACTATATGTCCTTTGTGAATGTCTAGATACTGTAAACAGAGTCCTAGAAGTGTTTCAAGTGTGCTCCATTCAGGACACGCGGGAAACCTCCACGCCACCCTCCTTTGTGATGAGATCTTGGCAGGAATCCTGTCCTGGATTTCCTGCCTGGGTGTATTGCTTTGTGTCCTTTTCTTTCCTGTGTTTAATGCTGTGTAAGCTGTCCTTGCTGTGTGTGTTCCCTGCTAGCCCTACTGTACTGTATATATGTGCGGCATGTGTGCAACTCAGTAAATTCCTTTTCAGGTTTCTGGACTTTTCATCTTAAGTACAGCTGATCCTGCTGTGAACTCATCTTTCTGGTATGCTCCTCTGTGTCTGATTTTGATTGCCAAAATATTGGACCAAGAGTGTTTTCCTAATATCCCGAGACAGCCATGTGTATCCTTGTGAAAGGGCATGCTCCATGTGGGATGGCTCATGTACAGCTTAAATTTATCATGTGTGGAAGTGTGTATACATTTATATGCCAGACAACTAACATTCATGTAACAGCTGCAGAGATATTTAATGTACGTCAGATTAATAAAAGAGCATTTTTGCTCCATTATATTCAAATAAAGATTGCTTGTGTGATTGACTTCTCTTCCAAACATGAATTGACCCTTCAAAATGAGCATATTTTTATGTCCTTAGGTAGAGGGAAACCTGTTTCTCTGAGGCCAGCTACTTTGAGTTGCTTATGTGACCAGTGTCTACGGTACTGATGTGGTTTTGATTTTACAGGAACACTTTCCAATTTTTAGCCAGGACCACAGGGAGGAGAACGTTTGTGAGGGAGTTTGTGGCCAGGCAGATGCTTGTGTCCCTCTGCCCCAGAGCAAGAATAGCAAACAGATTTCTATCTCAAATATGAATTCTAATTAGTTGGCAGTGGCTGTTTTGGAGAACAGTGAGAAAAGGTGCTTTATTTGATGGCATTCATGGAGAGGCAGAAACACAGACTGCAATGCCACATGTTTGCTGTTCCCAAAAGAATATTTCTGACTGCATTGAACAGACCCAAGTATCGTTTCTTAACAGAAGACCCAAGTGTCTAGAGCAGTCTGTTGGTGAGTGATGCCCTCCCAGTTGTGTCCTTGCTCCCCTCTGGATTCCTTCTCCTGGGACCTGCTCTCTCTTCCTTCGGGTTCTCCCCCGAAGGTGGGTCATTCCTTGTTGCTATAGCAACCCTATGTCCCTAGCCCATTCAGCCAAGCAAGTCTTAGCCTTTTCTCCATTCTCCAACCCCTCCAATTCTAGACCCTATTCTATATTTTCTTTAAAAATGACTACCAGGCTATACAAGGCCCTACATTTAATTCTGCAGCATGAAAAATAATAAGAAAAAAAGAAAGATACCAGTCACTCATTTTTCTTTTCTGCTCCATGATGACAACTTTGTGGAGGGAGAGAAGACCACACAGGCTAGAAACCCCCGCAGTGTCCGGAATGGTGGTAAGCACAAGACTGTCCAGAGGGTGCTGGGGTGCAAGTGAAACAGGCAAGGATCATGTGGCTCATGCCCTGGCCCCGCTTGACTAGCTGCAGTCTCCAGTGTGCAGCTCCTGGCGATCTGTGTGTTACACCAAGGTAACATGGGGCCAGAAGTTGCGTTTTTCCTGCTTTTTGGTGTCAGGTGCAGTGAAATTGCTGTTGTTTTTTGCTATAGTCTGCTAGGTCTGCCATAACCAACTACCACAGATGGCAGTTGAACAACCAGGAATTTATTTTCTCGCTCTTTGGGAGGGCAGGTTTCTGAGATAAGATGTCAGGTGCTGTTGGGCTCTTCTTCAGCCCCTCTCCTTGCCCTGTCAACAGGTCATCTTCTCCAGTGTCCTCACATAGTCATCCTTTTGTACATCTTAGTCCTGGTCTTCTCTTATAAGGACACAGTCATCTTGCCCAAGGACCCACCCACATGGCCTCACTGTAACTAATTACGTCTTAAAGATCCTGTCTCCAAGCATAAACACATTCCGAGATCCTGGGGCTTAGGACTTCGACAGTTCAGCCCATGACATTATCCCAAATATGCTTTACTTTGTTGTGTGCGTGCACTGTGCATGTATAGAATATAGATTGGATAGAACATGATTGCATAGAATATGATTGGAAGTACCTGTGGTCACGTGGGGGATAGGTGGCGTGAGCTGTGTGGACATATTCACTCTTGCGAGAGCTATCCGTCCAGAGGGGAGATAGAGAGATTGAGACATACTCATAAGCCAGAAGCAAATAACTCTGAGCCAGGGCTGGCTGGCCAGGTTCTGAGGGCTGTATCAGGCTGTTCTTAGACCTGTGACTATTTGTCTCTTCCTGCCTCGCTGCCCTTTAAAATTCCAAAGGAGACTTTGTTCTCTGTGTGATGATTTTCTTGAATCATGGCATGGGTGGCCGCGTCGTTCTCCTTCCACCACAGCCTGGGAGCCAGAGGGAGCAGCCTCTTCTGTGAGCCTGGCCCCAGAGAAGTTGCCACCAGGACAGTGACCAGCTAGGGCCCTGATGGCTGCAAAGAGAGCTAGAGGGAGGCAGCTTCCTGGAGCTCAGTTGCACAACTCACCTGCCACTACTGCAATTTCTGCAGTCGTCTTCTCCTGTAGTTTGCAGTCCAGGCACCAGGTGGAGAAGTGGAACCCATGAAAAGAGACTAGTTCTAGGAGGAGCCGCCAGACTCCCTGGGGTCAGAGCAAAGGCGTGGCCTGGGGTCACAGAGGACACAGAAGGCTCAAACAGGGCCACCTCCTTCAGCACTGCTCTGCACCCTCCACACAGGAGCCATCAGAGGCAGGAGAGGCCGTGTGCATAGCAGCCCCACTCCAGAAGACTTCATCAAATTCACCTTTTATGGCCTGGGGATGCAGATCAGTGGCAGAGTGCTAGCCTAGCCTGTGTGAGGCCCTGGGTTCAAGGGTGGGGTTTGGGGATGCCCTTTAGAAGGAGATTTCCAAGGAAATACAATCAGCAAATTCAAGTTTGGGTGGGGCTGTACATTACAAAGGGCTCAGGGACTTACAAGTGGCCCTCATTCCTCTTTTGGTCTTTGTAAACACTGAACAGTTCCCACCCCACTGCAGGCTGCTGGGCCCCCTCCTCCTCTGTCACCCCCTCAGGAGGACACCTGCAGTGCTTTCCACAGTGCTGGAAACTCAGGCCCCTGTGGACCTCAGAGTCATCTTTGAGGCTTGGTGAACTTCAGAGGTGGAAGCAGAGTATCACCGTGGCTAAAAGGGTAAGTTTAAGTAGAATCAGTTCCAGGGAACAGGGAAGGTTCTCTAAAAAAAAAGAAGAAGAAGAAGAAGAAGGACACAGGCTGGAGTGTGGCCCAGTGGTAGAAAGCTTACCTAGCATGCTCGAGGCCCTGGGTCTATCCCTAGCATGAAATGGGTGGGGGGGAATTTTAATAAACAACAAGCACAAAATTAACTGCAAAAGTAGCTGTTTGAAATGTAGAGAGATCCCCACAATTTACAAATTTTAAAAGGCTGATAAAACAAGCCATAATGAAATGCAGAAAAATAACAGTAGTTGATTAATTAGCTGCCCAACATGATCATTATCCATAGAGAGAATAGAAAGATTCAATTTTGATTGTTAAGGGTTTTTCTGTTTGCTTGTTTGTTTTGTTTTCTTGTTTCTTCTCCATTTTCCACATACTTCCTGTGCTGAAGACACAAGCCAAGTTCACACATGCAACCCAGGCTGTGGCTCTGTACATTTGCATCAGGATGTAGGTGAGTGGGGACCGGGAGCAGAATGTTCCTGGAAGCTGTTCCTCCAGTGGGACAGCTGGTGACAACTTTTCCAGAAGAGACTGTGAGCCAGCCCCACAAACATATCCCACTAAACTCGAGCTGAGTTATGTCCCCAGCCCAAATTCCTCTTAGCTGGTCCCCCAAATGCCCAGCTCTACCCAACACTGCAGCAAGTTTGAGGAAAGGAAGACAGCATAGTTCTAACTCACTAAGAAAACAATCTATTAACCTCGTATTGTTTTCCATTTGTGTACATTTTCTAAAAGCACAGACCATACACTCACATTGCTAGGCCCTGAAGGGCCCTGTCCAAATGAGGAGCCTGAGGCTTAGCTCCTACCAGCTCTGTGGTAAACACTTGACTGTGTTTTAGAGCCCGGCAGAGGGCTTTGAATCCTCACTGTGCCGCTAGGCAGCTATGCAGCCATGAAGGAAGTGAACACTGGTTCTCCTGAGCAGCCCGTTCTGCAACTCTACATTAGAAATGATGTCTGTCTTTCACTGGGGTGCATGAGGATTGAGGAAATGTGCATAAGAGGCTTAGCCTGACACACAAGGGTGTCCACTGTGAGTGGCAGCACAGGCTCACTTTTCAGGGACACAGTCAGTCCCTGCCAGCGCTTGCACAGCTGGTGAAGATGGACCAGAGTCTTGGCCTGGCCTAACTCTTGCAAGACTTCTTGCAAGATCAGGTAACATCTAGCTTCTATCGTTCTGCATAAGTGGAGGTGCCCAGACCAGTGATGACCCTGGCAGCAACTCCAAGTTGCTTACCCACATTCCCCACTGTGATTTCCCTTCACACAGTGCCCTGCCTGAGTGCCCTGATGCCAGCTCCACAGGAGGACCTCTGGTGGCCAAGAACAGGAGGAAAGAAAGGAGAGAGAAGCAGTGGCCACACACAGCAGGACCTTACGGACTCCAGCTGACCAGGAGTCCATGATGCAGGGTGGCAGAGCTGACACTGCCCATCATGTTGGCCTCTTTCAACATGATGCTACTGAAGTGTTACCGTTCATCCTGCCCATCTCCAAAGCTCCATGACTGCTTGTCCCAGGCTCCAGGTCTCTCCCAGGTACGGCAGCATCACCTGGAGGAGGAGTCCTAAGAAAAAGACCCAAGGCCTAATGTTTATAACTTGGCACCTCACAGTTCAGTAGTGAAAGAAATAGATATTTGCAGGAAGGAACACAAGGCCTCGTAAATGATAACTGCATGAGGAAGGCACCATGGGGAGCTGGTGCTGAGCTATCTGGAACCCAGCATGCAGCCCCACCAGGCACACTCCAGAGGTGCCAAAGGAGGTCCAAACCACCAGAAGTTAGCAGTGTGGTATCTGTACTCAAGACAGCAGAGTTCAAAGTCCAGCTCCTCCACTTGGAAGCTCTGTGGTCTGAGGAAGTCCATAACCTCTCTGGGCCTCAATTCCTTGTCTGTAAAATAATACTTAACATCTATTAAAGATTTAGTAATATGATGCAAGTGCTTAACATAAACACATTCTCTTTTTGTTGTATATATTTAAAGGGTATGACACAGTTTTGCATATACATGAAACACAATCTCTTGATGTCTTTCTTTCTTTTTGGAGGGTAAGGGGGTGGGGACAGGGTCTCACTAAGTGGCTAGGTCCTGGCCTCAAACTTGGCAATCCTCCTACCTCACCTCCTGAGTACCTCAGAGTAAAAGCTTGTACCACCATGCCCAGCTCAGTGTATATCAGTGATGGCAAACCCATGGCACACATGCCACAGCAGGCTGTTTGTATCACTGAAAGCTCTAAAAGGTTCACCATCACTGCTATAGATGTTTCCAATCTAAGGG